GCTGCTGCTCCTCGCTCTGCTGTAACCGCCGCCGGGCCTGCTCTCGCCGTCCCCGCGGCCTCCGGCGATCTCGGCCTCTCGAGGCTTCCACCCACACGCTTGGCCCGGCTGGCGGCTTGGGGTTGTGCGCCGGGCCCTACCTGGCCCCGTGCGCCAAGACAGAGCGAGGCCTGACCCCGGCGAGCGCACCGAGCCTGCCCTGGCCGAGACTGGCTGCCCGCTGAGCCCAGCCCGGAGCTCTGCTCCGAGGGTCCCGGTGTGACAGCAGGTGTGGAGGAAGAAAATGGCGGGCTTTGCGTAAAGCAAGAAACGCCACGCTAGCTGTCCCCTCGGCTTTCCCGAGCCTGCCCCCTCCCAAGGGCTGCCCTTGGCGTGAATGGAACAGCTTGATTGTAGCCAGAGGCCAAGACAAATGCCTGGCGGGGGTGAGGGGATCAAGGAATATCTCCCAGCCTTAGGCACAAGCTGTGGAGGAGTGGCAGTGGGGGTGTGGGAGGCAAGGTGTGGAAGGGGAGAAGTCAGCTCAGTACGTGCAGACTCTTACTTAGCTGGGCTTTGGGCAAAAGTAAGTCAGTGGTGGGCAAAGTATCTGGGCAAAAATAAGGAGGCGGTGATCTGTCTGCAGGGAGGTACACTGGAATAATATTTCTGCCTAGGCAGTGTGATCTGTGGTTCCTGTGACGAACGCGAGCTTCCAGATCAGTCTTGGTTAACAAGCTCAGGGGCTGATTTAGCACTGTCTAGTTTACCGGTGCTGGAATTGCACTGCGAGTGTCCAAGCTCACAGCTTGAATGTCTACGCTTGCAATTTCACACTGCCTTAACATAAATAGTCAAAGCATTAAATAAATGTCAAGCATGAGTGAAGAAAGTGGGTTGTTCTCATGCTATCTCTAACAGTAAGTTGGATGTGCTTGAAATAGAACTATCTATATGGACTGCTGTGAGCCGGCTGGACTATTTTAAGTGTTACTAAACCTTGTGGCTGGCATCTTTCGGGAGACGGGACTGAGGCAGCCATACGGTAGGATTTGCTCTCCGGAGTGACTTTGCAGGGACAGTGAGCTTCTCTGCTTGGGGGGTGTGCTGTAATTCTGGGGGTGACAGAGAAAATCTGGGATACTTTCTGCCGGGTTTCTCCCCCTTGCTGTGGGGATTGACTGCAGCAAGGCTAATCTGAGCAGCTTTCAGAAATGGGTCTGGGTTTCTTTCTGTGTGCACAGAGGAATGAGGCAGCCAAGTGAACTCTCTTTGCACAAAGAAGTGGGTCTGAGGATAAATTTTTTTTTCTAAGATTATTGTCTAGCTGCTATACTTGGAGATAGTCAGTAGCTTTCTATCTCAAATGAAATGTTTCCATAGTTAATTTCAGGGGTTGAAAGTCTAAAGCAAATAGAACAAACAGCTGAAAAAAGGTGTCTTAAAAACCATGATTACGCTTTTTTTTTTTTTTTTTTTTTTTTTTTTTTTTTTTTTATCTATGTTTCTTTGCTCAAGTCACCACAACAGTTTTGGAGGGTGTACTATTAAGAAAATATTGAGTGATTTTTCTTGTGATCTCAGATGGCTATATGCTGTGCTGGTGTAGACTCTTGTTAAGTGTAGGCTGGATAAGATGAAGGTTGTCTCAGGCATTATGTGCATCTTCAGACAACAGCACAGACCGAGGTTTGTGAGTGTTGTCTATAGCTGCTGTATTCGAAGATTTCAGAGCTGACTTAAAATCTGGTTATTCTCATGCTTAGCAGTGAAAGCCTCAGGTGAATTGGTAGGCTGCCTTTGCTGGATGTCAGTGCTGACAAAGAACGAGGGAGGCGTTGTAGGACATCCGTAGCTGTTTCTCTGCTAACAGACTTGTGAGCTTTCACCTGTGGCCAGGTGTCATGCCTGACTTCAGCGACAGAGCCAGTCTGAGGTCACCCCACAGCTCTTGTGGCACCAAGAGTACACTCTGGAGGAGTGTACCTACCTGGGCTTGTGGTGTTGTGCACAGTCAGAGGAGGGCTTCAGGCATTTCTGTACAACCACAGCAGGTTATTCTGAGAGCTTTTTAATTTTAGTCTCCCTGTGCTTAGTGGCACAGGAACAACTCATTGCTGTTCTCACTTAATTTCCAGCACCATGAGCATTCAGTACTTCAACAGCAGGTGAAGTGTAACCTGATTTTTAGAAACGTTCTTATTTCTGGCAATCAATGACAGGACTTAACTGGGTTTCAACCCAAATTTCTCTGCATTCTCTGTGCTTGACTAGCTCTGGATAGATTGTGCCAGACCAGGGAAATGGCGAATTGTGAAGACCGCGTGATTGCTGCCTGTTTGAGTGCAAAATGGAATTAAAAGATCTTTAGTTTTTTGGAGAGGTGAAGTGCATCAGTGAAAGCAAGCAGTGGCTTGAACAGAAGCACATGTGCCTTTCTGTGAAGGAGACCCCAAGTGTGTGTGCATGGTCAGGGTGCTCAGCGTGTCACTTCTCCCAGCTGAGACTAGGGGAAGAGAGGCAGCCAGAGCTTCCTGATCTGAGCTAAGCAAGCATATGCCAAGCTAACAGAGCATGTGGGAATGCAGTTTCTTTGGTTTTGTTTCATCTAGAAAATCTCTTCTCTTTGTATAAGAAACTTGTGCTTGTTTTGATGGAACTTTTTGATCTCCATGTAAGTATACAGTCATAGTTCTTAGGGGCGCTGGGGAACGATTCCAGATGGATATGTTGAATTTGTCAAAGAAGATTCCTCAGACCTTCAATCGGCTTCTGCAGAGGGCGCAGATGAACTGTGGAGGCTACTCTAAAAGGGGTGCAGCTCTGAGGAAGAGAGGGGTGGCTCAGTAGGATCCAGAAAAGGGACACACACTTAGCTCGGAGTCTACACGAATCCGTGTAGAAGGCAACCTGCCTGTTACCCAGCTGGCTTTTGGCAGTGGCAGTAGCAGTAGCTTCTGAGATTTAAACAATTCAAGCTTAGTTTTCCTGTGGTGTGAAAGCCCTTCCTCTGATCTGCGATGAATGTTAATGTTGCTAACTGTCCCTTTGGTTTGAGGTGCAGAGTGAAAAAGCAGATTTTTCCTTGAGCTGGGACATTCACTGCCTCCTGCAGCCAGTGCCCTCCTGCTTCCCTGGTACATTTTGCCTCTGTCTCATCAATATTTCTGTGTTTTATAGCCTACATCCCTGTTGCTGGTGTCCTAAATGAGAAATCACAGAATGTATTTTGCATAGCTTAATATTGCACAATCGGGGAAAATTGTTAATAAATTGTTTCATACCAGTTTTGCTGTTCCCTTCTTCCCCTGGCTGTGCCCTGTGTAATCTTTTAAAAAAAACTAAGACACACTGCTTAATGTCAAGTGTATTAATGCCTCCTATTAAGTAAGAAGTCCTCAGAGGAATGAGTTTGGAAAGTGGTGTGTTCTGTCCTCATTTATATCATATAAATTATCTTTGGAAATCAAAACATGAGATGGAACATAACAGTGTGCGTAGTTGTAGGACAGGAAATAACTTTTTCCTCAAAAAATTTGTTTAACTCGTATTTGCAGAGAGGGGAACTGCAGGAGGAAAATTGGTTTTGAGACAGAAGACTGCTCTAATGAAACAGTTTCATAAAAAGGCAGGAGAGGAGGGAGGCTGGAGCTGGACACAGAAAGCATGGGGAGGAGTAGGGGGTCCCTGGGAGACGGGGCTGTGGGGCTGTGCAGGGAGAAGAGGGTGGACCTGTGCGTGGCCGAAGAGGGGAGAACAAGTGCTTCATGAAGGCAGGAAGATTTTGTGACAGTTTCAGGGTAGGGTTGTGGCCAGGGACAGAAGACAAAGATGGAGTCTGTCTGGATGATTTTATTACAGTGTAGAGAAGAGCATTTGGATTTGGAAAAACTCTGGCAGCTTGTTAAATCCTGTGTTTTCCTTTGCCTTTTAATATATGAACCTGTAAAGATTGCTTCACACTTCTGGTTGTTTTCTTTTCATAAAGCTAATGAGTGTTTCTGCGTGCCCGTGTCTGACAAGTGGCAGCAAGAGGCTGTGCTGGCTAAGCTTTATGTTTGCTCTGAAGGGGTATCCCCATCCCAAGCCAAGGCAAAGTGCAACCAACTTCAACCCCACTGCCTCCACCACTGCCCCAGGCCTGCCTCCTGGGAAGCACTGATCTCTGGAAAAACCTTTCCCAGTAATTGTAGGGAACAACATTGCAACACCAGTAGCGTTTCCTATGGTGTAACCAGAAGAGCCTTGAGCTGCTGTCTCTCAGTTGACCAGATAAACTTCTTGGGATGTGCTGTCTACATTTCCTTTGTTCCTGTGACTAATCTTAATTATGAGACAGGTCAGGCAGAGTGTGTCTTGCTCTGGCAGCAGCGTGTTCCTCAGCACACAGCTCGAGTGAACTCCTGAGGGCGAAGAAGAATTTTCCCAGCCTTTCTAGCAAAAGAGGCAAGCGGCTCAGTACCACATCTGCCTGCCATGCCAGTCTGCTGTGATCCTCCACCCCAGGAGGAACCAAGTGGAGAATTGGGAAATAAGATTCATCCTCTTAATCTTTCAGGATCAGGCTCAGTCTGAAGAGTGTTGAAAATATTGACATTGGTGATAAAGTCCAGTTAAGCTCCATGAGGAGTCTTACAGAATCACTTAACCAATAAGTGTTTTTTGAGGAAAACATTGGTTAGGTTTTTCAGTGAGAACTCATGACTGAGGCAGGAAACACATTTAGATATGTGAAGCCTTCAAAATAGCCTGAAAGGTGACTTTGGTGGTCTCCATGGCAACTCATCTATTCTGTAGCTTTGCGGAGGACTTACACAAGAGCTGCTGTCTGGCTTAAAAAAAAAAAAATAGTAATAGTAATTTAGTAATTTAATAGTAATTTTAAAACAACCCTTAAACTTGCTAGATCTGAATTTGGGGTGGTCCCAGACATGGCTTGTAGCAGGGGAGGGGCTCTTTTTCTGGGCCATTCTGGAACAGCTCTGCTGAAGAAAAGCTTGATGTGACTTTCAGGGTTGCTGGCTGCAATTTAGGTTACAGTGGTTGCTGCAGGAAGAAGTGGCTTCACAGGAGGGACTTCCTGGTCTGCACTCATCTGTTACAAGTAAGACTTCAGGATGCTCTCTGTTTGGCCTTTGCACGTGTTCTGTTGCTGTAATTTTCAGGTACAGAGCATGCTCTGGCTGCCAGTTTCTGTTTTGGGAACAACTCAAAGAAGTAATTTTAAGAAGAAATTACTCAAATTTTGCTGAGATTTAGGAGTTCTGCAATGAAGCAACTGGATTCTGGATGCTGTATGTAGTATGCATGACTGGAGCTGGAAGCCTGCTCCATGCCAGGAGCTCCCTGTTGGGTGGCATCTCTGATTCTTTCCCCAGGTGGGGATAAAATGGGAGTGTGCGGGTGGGCCAGGTGGGCTGTGATGAGGCTGCTGATGGGCAGTAGAGGTGCCAAGTTGTGAGCAGTGGTTCTGCTTGGCTGAACGGCCAGGGGAGGCCAATTGGAGTGGAGTAGCATGGTGCTGTCCCTTCTTGCGGCTCTCCAGCTACTTCAGAAACTTTAAACAGGAGGAAAGTTCTCCTTGTGAAAAATCACTACTTTCCAAAAAGAAAAGGAACAGAGAAAATGTGTAGGAATTTTAGTCCTCATTCTAAGGCATCCACAAATGCTAAAACTGAGTGTGAGGTGGGAGCATGCTGTCTGTGTCTTCCAGGAAGCAAGAACCAAGAAATAAAAAAGAGAATTTTCTTTAGGCTGTCTGAAACACTGATGTCTCTTCTAATGGCTGTTTTTCAGTTGGGGAAAGCTGTTAAAGAATTGAACTGATCTGCTTTTTCAGAAGCACCTGGGCAGCACTGTGCTCCAGATCCTTAGATCCAAAAGAGAATCTCTGCAAAAATCAGCTGCAGTGACTTCTCTAGAGCTGATCTAGCCATCTGTTTAAAGCACGAAGCATATCAGTTTCTTAACTGAGATATGATGTTACAAAATACTCATAATTATGTCTAGATTTTCTGTAGGAGAAAAAGGCCTTGTTCTGATCATTAGCAAATAGCTTTCTCCACAGACTAGGGATTTCTGTTCTCTCATGTTTAATGAAGCTGGACCCTAGTGCTCAAATCAGTGAGTCCAAATGCTAGTGTTGTAGTCCACCCCTGCACTGGGAAGTCGGTTGCTTTATATGGGGCTGGTACTTTGGGGTTTTTGTTGGGTAGGGGTTTTTTAAATATTTTCCTCTGCTGTTTCTCATGACTGATCCAAAGAGCACGGTCACTTCCCTCTGGCTCTATCCTTTTCACCTTCACAATTGGCTCTCGCTGTGCATTTTCATTCACGTGGACAAATTGTTCTGGCATGTACATGACTGAGGCACGGCTGGGCGCACAGCACGCTGCTGCCTTCGCCAAAGGTGCTTGGCTTGGGCTGCCTGTAGAGCCACTGTGAGGTTTTTTTTTGTATGCGAGGGCATCTCTGCTTGCTCTTCTGAGCTTTGCTCATGTTACAGTACCTGCCTTGTGTCTCCTTCCCAAGAGGAGAGTAAAACCCTTCCCAGCTGAGAGGCAGATGTGTGAGGATACAGCAATGTGACCTTTGTAGTTGGCACTCAAGGAAGACAGGAAGACCTGCGAGATGGATTGTGTTATTTTAGCATTCTGTCTCTGTTACAGAGCCAGGTGACATCGTGGTGGCCCAGGAAGCATGCAGCTGTGGCACTGGGGGCCCTGAAGACTGTCTGGCTTGCAGGGAGGAATGCTACGGTGGGCAGTGCACTTGGAAGGTGGGCCGCGAAGGGTGAACCACGCGGCTGTGGCTGTTGGGCACAAGGTTTATTCCTTTGGTGGATATTGTTCTGGAGAAGACTATGAGACTCTGCGGCAGATTGACGTCCATGTTTTTAATGCAGGTAAGTGTGTCCTTGTGGTGCTCGAAGGAGTGGCTTGCTGGGCTTGGCTGTTAGTTCTGTTGCCCACTACTGCTTAACATATTACGCTCTGTCTGACTAATTTCCAAAAGTTTTTGGTGTAGATGGGAGCCCTTCCCTTGTGCAGCCCTGTATTTTCAGTTTCAGGGAGAGGGCGCAGAGGGGCTGTAGTTCAGCAGACTGCTAGGATAAGGGCTCACTAGAAGTAACCGTATAGCCAATGGCTTGTTTTGTCCTTGTTCTCTCTGAACAGTGTCTCAACTAGGTGCAAAGAAGTGATGTTTAGCTGGCTCAGGCCCCCCATCCAGTTTGCAGTGTGCCCACACTCAGCTGCCCCTAGCATGGAAGGGCTAGGGTGGGGTGGGAGACATTACACTCACTTAAGTCTCCAGGTTTAGACTCCTGAGCTCTTTCCCTGTGTAGACAGCTGACAACCACTGCCAGCATGATGAAGTCAGTAGGGCCACGTATCTAGGATGGAGGTCTTTCCATTTTGGCAGCAGCGATCATGAAGATTCACAATGTTGCTTAGAAAAGGAGCTGGAGCTAGTTGTGTAGGGTAGCCTGTATCTGTCAGGGTGCTGAGCTGGAGCCATGACTGTACTGGGAGAGGCTATAGTTCTTGATTCAGTGCTCTTTGAATTGAAGAGGTTTCTGAGCTGGTCCATGAAGTATTTCCCTGTAATTAGGCAGGTGGTTGAAAAAATGCACAAATGCTTGGCTGGGTCCAACTGAACAGAGACAGAATAGAACCAATGACCAGTTTTGCAGATTGGACAGCATGGTGAATGCTCTCCTAACACACACATGGCATGTAGATCAAACTAGTTTGTCTGTAACATGCAGTGAATTCACTCCTCTAAATCTGACTGTGGAGGAGACTGACTTGTGCAGTAGTGGGTAAAGGCATTGGTTACACAGGGCTGCCAAGGTGATCTGCTCACAGTGTAGATGGGAGGGTAGCTCAGGATCCTGGGAACAAAGACATTCATCTCTATCCAGGGAGACTGGGCTCTCACGCTCAAGACAGTTGAATATTGTAGCTTGTAAAATGTGCCAGTAGAGCACTGCTCTTATGGTGGAAGCATAATTACTGTGCCCAAATGAATGCTCTTGCATTTTCTACCCTTCTTACCACTCCCAAATATTAAAGTGTCATGATGCTGCAGCAGCCGTGTAGGAGGTGACACTGGCTTCCCAAGTCCTTGCTCAGTTACCATTGCCAGGTTCCAGTGCTGAAGCCAAGATACCAGATTTTGAATTATTTCTTTCAATCTTCCAAAGAGGAAGACTGTATTTTATGTAGGAAAAATCCCATCTAGCTTGACTTTAGCATTGGCTGTGCTTCCTCAGTGCCCTATCTGCTTCTGGGATAGATGCTTACCTTTTAGAATGCCTGACCCCTACGTTAGTACTTCAGGGGAACTGCAGAGTGTTTTCTGCTATATTTTGTGCTATATCCGTGTTGAAAACAAAACTGGAGACCGTATGTGTGTTAGAGGGAGGGTGTCTGGGTGCTGTTGTGTAATGGCCATGTGACATGTGCTATGACTCTTGCACTGTCATTAAACCTGTTGGCTGCTCTGGCTACTGCTAAACATGGCATACAGGCTGCTGAGAAGGAGAACCTGTAATCACAAGGAACTTCTATTAGTAATACAAGGTTAGCAGGGAGAACTCTGATATGGACTGGGGGTAAAGGAGAAGGACAACTGTCTCATCTAAACTTAAAAAACGAAACAAAAGCAAACAAACCCTCTTCCTACAAAGCTGCTGTGTTTCTTTACTTAAGCTGCACTATTGCAAGTCCAAATGATGCCTTCAGGTGTTGTTCCTTTTCGTGTTGCTACAGTGAATTATTACCATGCTGCCCATTCTTGCAGTTTTGAGTCTCTTTCAAAATGTCACTAGCCCAAAGTAGTGTCTGCTTTCATTATCACCTCTGTACTTTTTCCTTTCCTTTCCCTCTTTTTTTTTTTTTTCTTTTGTGTGTGAGTGCTATACCTTCACTCACAGTCTAGGATGAGCCAGAGTAGAAACCTCTTCAGTGTAACTGGTAAGGAATGGAGCTGTGTTTGGTCTCTGTGCGTGGCTTGGCCTTGGCCAGAGGCGGATCTGACTTGGAGCTGGGGAACTTTGCGCTCCTGTATGGTGAGCAGCTGTGTAGCACTTAGTTGCCCTCTGGGCTTAAACCACAACAGAAGCCTATTTCTGTCCAGAGTCCTCTGGTTCCCCAGGGATTCCTCTAATCTCAACTGTGACAGGGACCTGTGGAAAACTGTTTCCGTATTCCTTAGCTAGCTACTACTCAGGGTCAGACACAGCTTTGTCTTGTTACTAGACTGCTTCTGTACTTTGTCATAGCGGGGTAGGGGGTTGGGAAGTGCTGTGCAGGATGGGTTGTGACCTGTGAGGACTGTAATGGGTTGTTTAGCATTTGACGTGGTCTCAAACTTGTGCTTTCAGTGTCTCTGCGTTGGATCAAGCTGCCTCCAGTGTGGACAAACAGCCAAGACCATGTGAGAGAGGTGCCCTACATGAGATATGGGCACTCAGCAGTGCTCATAGATGACACCGTCTACATATGGGGCGGTCGCAACGACACTGAGGGAGCCTGCAATGTGCTCTATGCCTTTGATGTCAGTAAGTTTCAGCTTTTCACTCTTCCTTGTCACATCTGCTCTTGGTGAGACCTTCTCTCTGTCCCACCACAGTGCTCCCCAACTTGTTTTCCTGTCCCTCAGTCACAGTGGCAGTCTGGTGTTGCTGGCTGTTTCAGCAGGTTTAGAAGGGAAGCAGTGTGGCCAGTGTGTCTGCACACTTGACTCTCTGTAAAAGCCTATGAACAGAGATTACTGAGCTTGCCTAATAGTCAAACTCATTTTAATTTTTTTGTCATCTTTGTGTGCTCTCCCTGATAGTAACTACAGCTGAAGCATTCTCTTTGTGTGATGTATTATTATTCCTTAACTGTGGCTGAAGGTTGCAGCGAGAAGGGGCTAGAGCTCTCAAGGATTGTGGTTCCTCTCCAGAGTGGTCTTTCTTTCTGAAAACATGAAGGAGAGTGAGGAAGTAGTAGTCAGGGACAGGATAGCAAAATAAGGGAAGGCATGAGTCAACTTAGATGAACCTGAAAGATAAACTCTTTGAGCCTTTCAATTGGCTTCTCCATAGTGCTGCTGGAGCACCTGGGGAGAACAGACACAATCAGGAACTGGGTGGAGGGGAGTGTCAGAGTACATCTGGATTCTGGAGGCCATCTAAATACTGAGTAGTAACTGGCTTGCTGGACTTGCAAGGAAACTACTTGTTCTGGTGCTTCGTCATGGATTCCTTCTTCACCAGGAAATGTTTCATAGCTTGGAGCTGCTCTCTAGGCACAGGGTTTCCCCCTTCCTGTGACACATTCAGCTAGGAAGCCACCAGTAAACCCCTGCTTATGCAGAGGCCTTGTAGTGGGAGCTCCCTGCTCTCTCTGCCAAATCCAGCACTTTAGCATTAAGTGAAAATTAACAGAAAGGCCAGACTTCAGTCCTGGTCTGAACCCCCTGCAGCTGTCTGTACACACTGTGCCTGTCCCCTGCCAATCCTGGAAAGTGAGGCTGGCAGTCATGACAGTCCCGTGCCTGTGATGTAAGTTCCAGTGTAGAAGTCACATCAAGCTGGATAAAGTCCTGCCTGAGTGTGATTTCGTCCCCTGGGGTGCTGAGCAGACACAAGTTGAGGTCTTTTCCATCTCTAATTTGATGTGTTGTGCTTGGATGAGCTCTTGCTGCTATTGCGTGACTGGGCTTGGAAGCAGCCCCATAAAGGAAAGGAACTCGATAGCCACTGCAGCTTTCTTACTAGAGGCTGCCCAGGGATTCTGTTGACCTTGCAAGACCCTTTGTGTGGTTCCAGCTGTAGCCTAGGTGAATAGTTGTGGCCATGAGCCAAGTTCAGAGAAGTTATCCTTGTGAAGAATGTTGCTTTGCCTTCAATGTTACTGCTTCCTGAAATAAGCACTGCTTTTGGCAGCTCAGAGGAGTTTGGGAGGGCGGGAGGAATGTCTCCTGCTGCCTTGAGGCTTATCTGTGCCTCTCTGGGCTTTTGGGACAGGTGCCTGTTTCTGCTTGGCAGTGAGTCACTGGCTTGGCTTCATGTTGCCCTGGCATGGAGAACAGCTCTTGCTGGATTTAAAGTCCTCCCCTAAATCAAGCCAACCCCTGGAGCATGTGGGCTAAGGGGCTAAATCTGGCTGGTGCAGGCTCACGGGGAGCAGTGTGAAGGGAACCATGAAGGGTAGAGAGTGAGAAAGGCTCCCCTTGAAGAGGAGAGGAGATGAGAATGTAACAAGAGTAGCAGATAAGATAGGGAGAGCTGCACTGCAGAGGTGGGGATGTTCACAGTAGATCTGCTGACATGGTGAGCTTATGGTTAAGTGACTTCTGCCTGGATTTGAGAGCTGGATTTGCTCAGTCACAGTCAGCATCTCCACGCCCTCAGGTCAGTTGATCCTCTCAGCATCATTGTATCATTGTAATTGAAACTGTAAATGCAGAGTTGATAAGTGACTCACAAGCAGGCTTTGTGAGAGATTCAATTAAAATAACATTGCTCAAGCAGCGCTGTACTACTCACACTTAAAACGTGAGCTGTTTCTCAGATTGGGCTGTGCCCAGGATCTGAGACCTGTCACTGTACCCCTCTGTGGAGGCTCAGGCAGGTAGCCTTGCCTGAAGAAGCTTGCAGCCTCTCTGGAGAAGCAGGTGCTGTGTGTGAGAGAAGGATTTCTGTCTTCAAAAATGAAGAACAGTAGTAAAGAGCTATCCCACCCCAACATCTACTGTATTTTCTTAGCGTTGCCTCCTGTTTTGTTTCAGACACGCACAAGTGGTTCACACCAAGGGTGTCTGGAATGGTCCCAGGAGCGAGAGATGGGCACTCGGCTTGTGTCCTGGCAAAAAGCATGTTTATCTTCGGAGGCTATGAACAGCTGGTAAGTAGTCTCTGTAACTGTTATTTTGAGACCCCTTGAGAAAGAGGGTGTTTCTACCCAGGACATTGGTAGAGGCAGGATACAGGGACATATTTGTATCCATACTCAGCAAAGTATCCATAACTCAGCAAAGTTATGGCATTATCAGCAGGTTATGCTCACTGTCTGTGATACTGATTGCAGCATCAGGAGCAGTTCAAATGTGGCTTGTTTTTAACCAAGACTGAACAAGCCTGTAGCTGTCTTGCTGCTCCCCTGCCTGGAGGAGCAGGAGTCTGCTGTTTGTGTGAATGCAGGCTCTTCCAGGCAGGTAGCTGCAGATGAGTTTTTTGGGATCCTCAGAACCCCAAGTGTATTTGCTTCTGAATGTTGAGCTTCCTAGAAGTAATGTTAACCTCCACTTCTCATCATTGGCCTCAGCAGAACCAGTTTGAGTGTCCTATTAGTGCCCCTTTCTTCTGTCACTGCATGGAGTGGAGGCAGGGTTCTGCTGTGAGTGTACATACTGTGTGCAGGACAGCCTCGGGGGGAGGAACTGAGCACCAAATAAATAGGAAAGCTGCAGAAGAGAGACAGGACACCTTTAAGGAAAAGTGAGCTTTGCCTCTCTCTTGTTAAGTGATGTGTGCTGCCTACGCTGACATTTTGGAACAAGCACCATGTCTCTTAGGAAGTACTGACTCCAAAAGGATGCTCCAGGTCTGTAGGACAGTGTCTTTCCTGGGGCCAGATGTGACCAGGCTTCTCAGTCTCTTTGTGACCATGCTGCCCTGCTGTCTTCCAGGCTGACTGCTTTTCAAATGATATCCATAAATTGGACACCACAAACATGATGTGGACCTTAATCTCTGCCAAGGTCAGTGCCTGCATTTCACTCTGGTTTGCGGAGGAAGTCCTGTATCTGCTATGCTCTGGGGTAGCTGCCCACACTTGTGTCTCAGTTTCTGTCTGGTTTGGCTGGGATCTGCAGGGGGGGAGGTTCTCCAGGAGAAAGCAGCCACCCCAACTTTGCCATCAAGATGTGTCTTCTCCCTGAGCGATCTGCATTTCTTCTCTTGTTCTGTTTTCCTCTGTCCCTGCAGGGTACGCCAGCTCGCTGGAGGGACTTCCATTCAGCTACCATAATTGGAACAAAGATGTATGTATTTGGTGGCAGAGCTGATCGTTTTGGGCCACTTCACTCCAACAATGAGATCTACTGTAACCGCATTAAAGTATTTGATACAGAAACAAACTCCTGGCTGGACTCCCCTCCAACTCCAGTGCTCCCTGAAGGCCGGCGGAGCCATTCAGCATGTGAGTGTGGGTGTGCTGAGAGAGGAGAAGAGTAGAAGGAAATTCTTGCCTGCCTCAGAAGGGGTGTCTGGTCCGCTGGGTGGAGATGTGGGTTAGCAAGGGGTGTGCAGAACCTGGCTTCTGTGGAAAGCTGCTGCCCACTAAAAAGCCTTGTGCGTAGCCCTGCACGTGAAGGTGGTGTCAACAAAGGTGGGTAACCAGCGCCACTTTGCTGGGCTGGGACCTGCTGGGCTGTCCCTTGAGTGGCACGCTGATATCTATGCTTACTCCCCACAGTCAGCTACAATGGGGAGCTCTATGTATTTGGTGGCTACAACGCACGCCTGAACAGACACTTCCATGACCTCTGGAAATTCAATCCAGGTATTTATACTTTTAACTTGTTGCAGTGATAGTGCTCAAGGCCTTCAAGTGTGTGAGTGCTCTGATGAGTGTACTCTCCAAGGGCTAGAAGCCTGCTTTTGGGGGCAAATGGCTCTACTGACAGCACTGACAGGAACTTGCTACTGTGCTTGGGACCCCTGTTTCTCTTCAGACTGTCTCCAAATCTCAGTTAGAAAGTGGAAAAGGAAATATTCCTGAAAGGCACAGCTAATCAAAGGGTGGTTGGCAAAACTTTGTTTTGTTCTTAAATATGCAGAAGTGTTAGCAGAAAAGAAGATATGGGGAAGCAGTGGGGTTAGGGGAGTGAGAGGCTGTAGCTGGGGAAACCACTCGAGCTGTAGAATCACCATACCACATTCTCTTGGTACCAAATCAAACTGTGCAGCAGAACGAGTGGCTTTTCAGCGGGTATCCTGAATATCATTCAATTGTGAGCGTTTTGGGGTCCTCGGGCCCTTTTCACAGTCCATTAGACTGATTTTGTTTGCTAATGGCTTTGCATAGTAAAGTTACCTGAGAGCAGCCAACTTGCTGCTCCCCCAAGCTGATCTCTCCCCAGGGTAGTGTGAGAGCTCCTGAAGGTTTCAGTGCTGTGCGTTAGTGATTAATCCCCCCCTAGCATTCTTGCCGCAGAGAGCAGCAAGGACAAAGGCTGCTGTCTTCTCCGCTTGGTTCAGTTCCCCACACTCCCACAACCAAGCTGTCCCAGCAGCCTCTGCCCTGCGAGGGTGCTCTGCATTCACAGTGGCTGCCAGGAGATGGAGCTGGTTCCTGGTTCTCCTTCAAGTATGGACGGCAGCAGAGTGCGGGGGAAAGGAGCCTGCCTGCCTGCTCCTGGAGCTCTGCACTGTACAGCTCCCTGTGATGTCCGACCTGCTGCTGTGGTCCTGGGGCTCAGACTTTGCAAATGAACGGCCTCGACCTGCAGCTCCCATCTAGTAGGCAGAGCTCCAGGACTGTGCCTGGCATCTAAGCGATGCTTTGATAACAACCTCATAGAAGTGCATCTTATTGTAACTAGCGAGAACAGGTCGACAGGGAGGGTGCATGTTGGCTAGTTTGTGTCTGTGGGGCAGTGGGCCTCCGGTTTTGCTGTGATCTGTTTAAATCCACAACCTGCTTATACCCAGGTCTTGGCCAGGCTCTTGTGACAAGTTGATGCGCTCTTTTTTGCCCCTTAGTATCTCTTTCTTGGAGGAAGATTGAGCCCAAGGGGAAGGGCCCGTGTCCTCGACGCCGGCAGTGCTGCTGCAGAGTGGGGGACAAAATAATTCTCTTTGGAGGCACCAGGTAAGTTGTGTGGGGTGGCTATGTGAGAGGGTTTGCCATTCCCTTCAGCACAGTGTTGCTATAGGCTCTGTCCCATGCTGTAGTCAGATGCACTTCAGAGACACATGGCAACTGTCCATCTACCTTACAAGTGTAAGAAATCATGTAGATAAGAGCTCCTCTGGAAAAAAGGCCAAGGGGGAAATTGAAGATATCATGTAAGCTTGTAAAGCACCTGGTGACAAGCCACCTTGTACAAGTAGAGGCAGAAGCATGTACCATGCTGTTCAGGAGGGGTTGTGCAGTGGTCAGACTTTCTGTGAAAGAGATATTGGGGAGAGGAGAGAAGACCCTGCTGTCAGAAGAACAAGTGTCTTAGTGTTCTGTGCTGTAGCAGCCCTTAGACTGACTTATCCTCCCCTACATGCTGCCTTGCTTCTCCCACCAGAGTTTCTTTCATTGGCAAGTGTGGTGTCTGACAAGCTGCAGTGGAATGTCAGATCAGCTGGTGGCTGTTTGAGGAGCCCATACACATGACAAGGCAACATTTCCTTCTGTGCCAGTGTTTTTCCATTCACAAAAGGGACCTGGTGTTAAGGATTTAGCTGTCAAACACTGGAAGTTATACTGTCAGGGTGCAGGGCAGCTGGATGTGGCCAAGAGTCTTAACAGCTGCTAAAAGAAAGGAAGTGGCCCATCACCAGGACACACTCTATGCTGTCTGGAATGACAAATTGCAGCTCTGGAGCACAGGCCTGTTTGCCAGCATCTACCTTGCAGAGACATCCGAAATGCTTTCAGCCCTCCATATGGTTTGGAAAGCTGTGAGGCTTTCTCTGGGATCCTGGTGGTGGCTTTCTGGGGATACTTCTGAAGACACTTGGGGGCAAAGGACAAGGCAGGGTAGATTCTGCTGATGGGCTGACCAGTGTGAGGTGGAATGAAGGGCCTTCAGGCCCCAGGAGTGCTGGAGGAGTGTGCTTAGTTGTAGGATGTCTGTGTGGGTGTGAGGAGGGAGTGCTTAGTGCAGGTGAGGTATGCAGAGGTGCTGAGTTTATGCAACACCTCTGCATGGTGTGTATGGTAGAAGGCTTGATAGGGCTTGATGGCAGTTTTGGATGCTCTCAGATGCTACGGTGTGGATTTGTGTTACAGCAGCAGCTGAACTCTGATGTTAAGCCTAGGCACTCCTAGGAAATGCTAGCAAACCACAACAAATCTGACACCAGCTTTTCGGAGTCTGGTCCGTGTCTGCCAGGCAATGCAGCAGCGCCTTGTCTTCTCCACCAAATTACTTCAGTATTCAATTTGTTCCTTAATCCAGGCTCAACCCCAATGCAGATCAGTTCATCAGTACTAGTTTGGGGTAGAAGAAGAGCTGCTGGCAGCCAGGAATGCAGCCTCCTTGGACTGGAGGAAGGGTCTTGCAGGCTGTGGAAGAGGGAGATGGGGGTGGGGACCGTGCCGCTTCCTGTAACGGTTATCAGGTGTATTCTGGAGCTGCCTGGCGAGATAAGAAGTTTTCCAGGAAGTCGTTGTAATGGAGAATTCCCAGTGGTCTGCCTCCTGACCTGTGCTTCCCTGCGGGGAAGGGGGAGGGGAAGCACACAGCGCGGGGGATCCTTCGGAGGATGAGCCGGCAGGCTCAGCTTGCTAGTCAGCAACAAGGGGGACGGGCAGGCAAAACCCCTTTGTGTCCTGCCTTCCCTTACAGGATTCACGTACACTGTAGACTGTTCAAGAGGCACTTCTGCCGGGTGCCTGCCTCATATGCTTAGTTTCTTTTGTAGTCCTGCCCAGAGCCTGGTCTTCTTGTCCCAGCTGTGGTCTCTCACTGTGACCAGCAATAATCCTGTCACCTGTGTCCCATTTAAGTGACCAGTATTCCCGTTGGCTGTGTCACAATTGTGGCCCTGGTCTGGTTTCTTCCCAAACCCACCAGCACTTCAGCATGCAGAGACAATCCACAGAGGAGAACAAGGGGCAGAGGGAATGCTATAAAACAGTTTAGCTGAACAAATGCTGATCTACATTTGGCTTGAGGCTCTGTTTTCCCTGACAAGGCTTAGAAATGCCTGGCTCTGGTGAGGGAGTAGGGGATCTCACAGGGTGCTTGGTGCAGGGCCCAAGAGCTTTCGCCAGCATGCCAAGTTGCTGTGCAGCTGGAGCGAGCAGTTTGGCTGGGCTCTGGCTGGGAAAGGGGTGCCCTGTACCCTGTTGTCTGAGGCTTTCCCTAGCTGTTTGCAGTTTGGTGATTAAAACCACAGATGTGGTGCCTGCTAGCTTTCCTTTGAAAGATAAGGGATGGTCTAAGGTTTCCTGTGACGTGGATGTGAGATTAGATTGTGGTGTGGTAAACTCACAGAGGTGGAATTAAAGGGCCTCTTGCCTATATCTGGGCAGATGGGACCCCTCGGCATCAGGTCTTCTCTGCCAGCAGTGAGGTGTGCCCCACTGTTTGTGCTGGGGCTGTGGGAACCTGGTGGGGGAGGTACTGTCTCATGTCCTGGGAGATGTGAAGCTAAGTGGGGAAGCAAGTGACGCTGGGGTGAGAAGTCACCATGTGATGTCCCAACCGAACAGGGAGAACATGCTAAATTGCCTTGTCACAAACTGAGACGGGACTTAAAAACACCTTTCCTTTCTTCCAAATTCTCCAAACAACCATCAGCCATAGGGATGCTTTCCCCTTGCACTCCTGTTCCAGCATAGGTTCTTCTGTCTGTGCCAGGTGATGCAGTGACCAGTATGTCCCGATCCCATGTCAGGGGAGGTTTCGATATGATCCCAAGAGTGAGATCAAGACACAAAGGAGGTCAAATGCTGTACAACCTCTCAAACTTTATTCCTGTAAAAAGAGGTAATAGCGATAGGACAGAAGGAAGCAGAAAAGATCAGAACAGCTAAGCAAGCAAATGGAAGAGATGCAGCAAGTCAGTTACCACCACCACGAATCCAGTGGCATCCTGTTCGTTTGGTCTTAGTGCAGGTGATGGGGGAATCCCAGCATGTGATGGGAGATGAAGTCCTTTTATCATCCCAGTCAGTCTGCCCATTTCCACGGAGTTCATTATCATACTCGCCGCCCTGTGTTCCTCCACGCACACATGCCCAGGTGTCCACAGTGGTTGTACTGGGGAGGGCGGGGTCAGCCAGCGATGCCTTTAGTCTCTGCCCGTCCTCCTTGTCCTGACTTCTTCCCCGGCCCTGCGCACAAGTGCAGCTTGGTAGATGTTACAGAATATGTAGTTGCTCCAGTTTTGGGCAGACACTGTGTTTTTTTGGGGATATTTCAGGGTGTACTTCTTCATAGCAATGGAATTTTGAGGCCCAGTTTAGGCAGTGGTGCAGTGTCAAAACAGGCAGTTGACACAGTCCAACAGTTTTACACCACCCCATGGCTCAGGAGATGGTAATGCCAAGACAAAACAGCTGACACAGTCCCTTACACTGTCTCTCAGATGCTTTGGCTTTTCCATCAAGAACATGGAGGCAGGAAACCATAGGTGAGGCTGTCTGTTCCCTAGAAATGCCTGAAGTCACAGCTCCTCACTAGTGTTCCAGGACAAATGTCAGATGGGAGTATCAGCAAATTGGGATTGGTGTAAAATGGCAGCTGTGCTGATAGTGCCTGACCATGCCCAGTTACAGTTTTCTGAAATGCTGTCCCCATTTTGGCACAACCAGGAAGATGTGGCTGGAGCCCACAGTGGTTCCTGAGTCAGACTGAGAAATGCTTGCTCTGCTAACTCTTTTCTCTACATTTCTCTTACATCTCAATGGCCATGCCAAAATAATTGCAGTAGATCTTAACCATGTGAGAACTGGAACAATGAACAGCATGTGGCTGGGCAGAATCTGTTTCAAGCCTTGTGCTGTTGTGCTTGATGCACAACTTCACCTCATGCAGCAGAATGCAAAAGTATTCTAGCTGCTGGCCTAGTCAGAGGAACACAAGCTAATAAAATAGGATGTTTTCCTGGCTGCAGGCTGCTAACCTGTAAGCTTTTGCCAGAGAGTTTGTGCTAATGCAGCAGATATATATGGTGGTTGCAGCCAAAGAAGGAAAGACCTGCCACTAAGCCAGATGAAGGCCTCAACAACTGCTTCAAGTGCTTAATCTCTGCTGCTGCCTTTGCTCCTCTGTAGAAAAAGCCAGACTTCGGCAAAGCACCTCCCATATTATCCTCAGAGAAAGCAGCTTGACTTATCCCACTCCAGCCAACTGCAGTGATGGGGCAGTGTGGCACAGTGCATGCTGGCCTGTCCCCAACATCATCAGTGTTCCTGAGAGCTTACGGACAAGAGAATCTAGCTCACAGGTTTCCATGGCATGACTCATGAGTAACGTGTGGTGTATGGCAGTCTGCAGATGTTTTGTGCAGCGGTGGGCAGGGAGAGCACAGCAGTGTTGCCTGCAGCATATGGCTCCTTTTGTTGCTTCTCCAGGTTGCAGAAAATTTCCATGGCCACTAGCTACTTGCTGAGTGTGCCACCACCTCTGTAGATAGGTCATGGCTCCCATGATTGGTGGCCCTGCGGTGCAACTAGAGAGCCTTGCAAAAAGTCCTCCTGGCTCTCCAGCTTATCTCACCTACCTCACTGGGAACACCAGCACAGCTTTTTTGACTTTGCACTGTGCCATTGTTTGGTGTCCTAGATCAGATGCCTGTCTTGTGTGATGTTCTCCCAAGTCCTTGTACTTCCCATTGTCCCCTTGGCCACGAGGTGAAGCTGGCCTGAGGTCTGTAAAAAGCCATGGTGTGGGCTGTCATGCTGCTGCACGTGGTGCTTGGGGCCATGTAGGGATGGGCTGACCCCTGCCTGCCCAGGTAGTTTGGACAGTGTGTGTTTGATAATGTGTTACTAGGGCAGCCTTCCATGATACAGCAGGGATACATGCCTGCTGTGGAGCAGCCCATGGGGCCTGTCTATCACACAAAGAGTGGGACAGATGCTTGTGCGACCGTGCCTGCCTGCCTTCAGGAGCTGCTGTAACATACCTTCTCCAGCCTGCTCAGAGTCATATTCAGCCTCGTCCCAGGGCTCAGCTTTGCTCCTCTGAGTGGAGCTCTTTAGAGGGTTGGATCCACTGAAATTGCTGAGCCAATAAAGTCCTGAAACAAGCCTAGGGTCCGGAGGCAGCTGTTTGCCAGCACCCTCCTCATGCCCTGAGGGTGGGTACCACAGTTCTCGGGGAGGCCCCAGGGTTTCTGAGTTGTTGGAGAGAAGTTTGGGAGGTACGTGGGGAAGAAGGAGTGTGAAACCAGCCAGAGGCTGGTCAAGGTACAAGAAGGGAAAAGGGATGTTCCCTGCAGACTGGGACCTGTGTTTTGAGGTGCAGCAAAGTAACAGAGGCACATGAGGTGAGGAGGCTCACAGCAAGAGTCATTGTGGTCGTGCAGCAGCTCCCCCATTCCCTGCTGTGGCTTGCAGAGGAGATGGTGTGTGTGTTTCTGCCCTCTGGTTCTGTGCAGCTCTGCCTACTCTGTGAGGAACTGGGAGAGTGGTGGCTTTCGGTGCTGCTGGGGGACGAAGAGGGACAGGAAGGGGTCAGAGGGCCCCTGCATGGGGCATGCAGGCCAGGAACAGTCCTGGACTTGCTCAGCCCTTGGGGAAGCCAAGGGACATAACTGGTGTACAAGTGCTCTGACACTGACTGACACACTTTGTTTGGCTTCTGCAGTCCATCTCCGGAGGAGGGAATGGGTGATGAATTTGACCTGATGGATCACTCGGATCTCTACATCCTTGACTTCAGTACGTGAGCACTCCCTGCCCAGCTTGTGCCTCTCACCCCAGGGTGCCCTGTGAGCAGGCCCTGCTGTGGAGCACCGTACATGTCTTACCTGGCTCCAGGTGCCTGGCTCCAAGAGGCATCTCTGGCTGGTGTATGTGGCTTAAGGCAGACCAGCCAGAGATGCTTGCAGACCTGAACTGGGCTCATGGCTCTTCATGCACTCCTTCATACAGATTTCTTGTGGGAGCACAGAAAACCGCCTCCAGTCTGTCACTGGTGTGCACCCTTGCCTTGTCCCTCAGACAGATGGCCTGGGATGCTCTGCCCTCTTTCCTGTGGCACTGATGGCACGACCACCCCCATAGTGTCCCGACAAGGACCGCTCTGGCTAACTGCCCTCTTTCCACAGGCCCCAGTCTAAAGACGCTGTGTAAGCTAGCAGTGATTCAGTACAGCCTGGACCAGTCCTGCCTTCCCCACGACATCAGGTACTGTGTGCCTTGCTGGGAGGTCACCTCATGGGTGCTCCCTGTCCTTGGGAGCCAGGGCAGCTCCAGCCCTGGCTGAGGGCTGCCTGGGTTCCCTCCTCAGCACTGTGCAGCTTCGGGGCAGGCTGAGTTGGAGACCACAGCTGAGGCTGATGCGCAGCAGAGCTGCTTCAGCCCTGGGCACTGTGTCTGTACTTTCTCTCAGTGTACTCCATTGGTGTGTTACAGATGGGAGCTCTCAGCCATGACAACAAACAGCACCATCAGCCGCCCCATCGTCTCCTCCCAGGGCTGACGCTGGCTCATCCCTCCACCATCCTGCTCTCGCCCCTCCACACACTGACCTCTTGCTCCAATGCCTGCATGAGTTTTTTGCCCTTTCAAGCAAGGAACATGTGAGCTCAATTCGTCTTGCCCTAGCCAGGCCTCCCTCTGCCTTTGTCATGTTTTGGACAGCACGAGTGTGCAGGCAGAGCAGGCTTCCAGGGAAGAAATCAGCTCGCCCCAGCAGCACAACGGTGAACCCCCCTCCTTGTTGATGGCTCCAGTGTCTCCTGCCTTCCTTCCTCTTGCCTGTGGAGCTACAGCTGTGCTGGCCTGGTCCCTGGCCACTTTGAGAGGGCCTGAATCAACTCCTACCACCAGCCTTGGCCCTGGTGTTGGCCTCAGGCTATGAACTTGTTCCTGCGCTGCCTTGAGGGACCTCCATGCCTGCACCCTCCGGCGCTGACTAGCTTCCTAGCACTGGAGTGCAGGCCCCAGCCCCAAGCTGAGCCTGATCTGGGGGCCTGGGCCCAGCTGGACACTCTGCCTGACTTCATTGTAAAACAGCAACTGGGGGGGGGAGTTTTATAAATGCTGAGGCAGACATGGTTTCTACTGCTCTGTGTGTCCTAGCAAGTGAACTTGGGGGAGAGGTGTGGGAGGGGAGAGACTGAACCAGGTGCTTTCCCCTGCAGCTGCTGGTCACCAGTGGGAGACCCCACATCTGGCTGGGGTGGGAGAAGGGGAGCTGGGCCCCTCACAGCAGCACTGCCCTGGTATGCATGCCTCCTGCCTGGAGCTGTGCTGCCCTGTGAGAAAGCAAAGAAGATGATGCATGTCTCCCGGGCTGTGCTGTCTCCAGAAGGTGGGTGCCCCACAGCACCTTGCTCCAGGGAGGGAGGTGGAGGGATGCCTGGGGCAGCCTTCCCGGGTGGCACAGAGGGCTGTGCCCAAGTCCCTTCCCATAGAGGTGAGGTGTCTAATGTGCAGAGGGGCTCCAGTGGCAACTGTAGCAGAGCTAAGGCAGGGAAAGCTAGAGAAGCACTCAGGGTGTTTCCCTGGGATGTAAAATCACAGAGCAGCCAAGAGATGGTGGTGGCTGTGTGCTGGGAATGGGTGGCAAAGGGCCTGGGCTTTCTCTGCTGCCCTGAAGGCTGGCACGTAGTCAGGGTCTAGTGCTGCTCATCCAGCAGCATGAGGTTGCAGAGGTGCTTGGGTTCCTCAGCCTGCCAGAGGTGGCTGATGTGGGTACAACGGAGCAGCCTGGAGTGGCATGAGAGCAGCGCAAACCCCATGGCAAGAGAACAGAAGGCACCACAATTGTGACAAGTTTCTTTTTCAAATACTGGCAGCACCTCACTGTGGTGGGTGATGAGCACCTGTGGCAGGATTGGGGGCTGAAGGGAGTCAGGGTGTGCTGACAGCACATCTGGCTCAGGGAGAGCACCCCCAGCTGGGGCTCCCTCTTTGTGACTCTTGATATCTGCAGGTTACCTTTATGGGCTGGGTGGGCATCTCCCATGTGTTGTCCAGCAGCTCCAGCTCCCCTGCTCAACCCGCTGCCTCATCCACAGGCTCTCAAGCTGTACCATGAAATGGTGGAGTTTTTTTTGCCATGGCATCCCCTTCCTTGGGTCTGAAGCACCAATCTTACTCTTGTAGGGTGCCAGGCCCCAGGAAACACCAACAGACCACCCAGACTCCCTGCACTGGGCAGCATGGTGCTGAGCACAGAGGCTCTATCCGTGAATGGCTGTCACTGGGGCTTCTCTGGGGAGAATCACAATCTCTAGGGCATTGAGTAGAGACAACAGGCTCTAGAAAGGCTCAGTACCCCATGCCAGCTGCCTCTAGGAGAGCAAACCTTTGGTGAGGAGGCGGCTTCTCTGGTAAAAGAAGGGGCTCACCAGGGAGAGAGTCACAGGCACCCCACTCCCCTCCAAGGTTTCCCTCAGGTTCAGGAGTGCTGTGACCCTGACCTCCCTCTGCCAGGACCCTGCTGCAGACCTGCACATGGGACACTGCTCACCACCTTGGTCTGGATGTCCCCAGTGAATTTTCTTGTCATATCAGCTCCTTCTCTCAGCGATGCTGGAGGCAGCTGCTGGGCAGGTGGACTAGTCACAGGCCTTCAGCCCATCGTGGGCCTTTCACTGTGCTGGCAACAACTGCAGGCCTGGAGCCGGGTGGATGTGTGCCTCACGAGGGGACCCCTGCTACCTTCATCATCACCTCCTGAGCAGCCAGGTTTGCTTTAAAGACCCTAGCTTCCTTTTATTGCTTCCCCTCTCAGATTGCAGCCGGCTGCACAGGCTATTTTTAGCCGCCTGCCTTCTAAAAATAGCCCTGAGCTGTTTGGAGTTGCGTCAGGAGAGGTAACACTCTCCATGAGCGGCTTGGCCCCTGCACCCCGGGAGGGTACAAAAGGAGGCTGGGAGCAGCAGGGTCAGCAGGTTCAGGCGCAGCCAGAAGCGAAGGAGGCAGCGCTGCCAGCTTCAGGCATCCCACTGCCGGCATCATGACCATCTTCTGCAGCCACTGCCACAGGCCTCTGCAGGCAGAGATGAGCTGCCTGCCCAGGAGGGGAAAGCAGGCACCCAGCGCCTTGAAGCCATTCAGGTGAGCTCCCTATCGCCCCCCACCTACGGGGCTGTGATGGCCTCCTGGCTGGGGGGTACCCCGGGCCAGCTCAAGTAGCACCCAATGGCCCTCGCAAGGGCGCACCACCAGTCTGGGACAGCAGGGCTGCCAGCCTGCACGTGGGGAGGAGTGCGAGAGTTTGGAAGAGTGCAGGGCTTTCAGGTGGTTGAAGAGTAGAGGCAGATGCAATAGGCTAGGGCTCATATTCTGGCACTGGATGCAGTTTCCATCCTCACGGGGTTTGGTGGGGAGGTTGTGTCACTTGGGCTCCCCCACCCAAGCACAGGTCATTGTCCAGCCTGGCCCCTAGCGAGACGGCCACCAGCCACACCAGCAGTGTGTGCCCCTGGGCAGCTGTGAGCACCTCTGCCTGTGCCCACTGCACTGGAACAGACACCAAAAGTTTGCTCTCTGAGAGGCAGCTACCATGAGCGCTGAGCCTCTAGGAGAGCATCTCCACTCTATGTCCCCGAGCTTGCAATTCTTACCCATAGCAGCAGGCGGGGGGCACTTTTCCCCAGACAACTGGCTTTGCAGGTCAACCAAGAGTGCCTCCAAGGCTCGCAGGGACCAGATCAACGTGGAGCTGCAGGCGCTGCGCTCCCTGCTGCCCATCTCCGTGCATGAGAAGGAGCGGCTCTCCTACCTCCACACCATGGCCCTCGTTTGCCTCTGGCTGCGGGGGGCTCAGCTGTTCCCTCCAGGTACCTGTGGCACTGCTGTAGCCCCCCACAATAGCTTGGCTCTGCGGGGGACACTGCTCCTACCCCAAGACAGCACTTCACCCTGTGCTCCCCCCTGCAGACTTGCCTCCTTCTGCGGGACCAGCCCTCAGCGCAGAGCTGCTGTCCCTGCTGCCCGGGTTTCTGCTTGTGCTCTCGGCCAACGGCAAGCTGGTTTACATCTCAGAGAACGTGGTTCAGGTCCTGGGTCTCTCCGTGGTAAGGCCTGCCCGCTGGGTATTTGCCATCACTGTCCCCATACCTGTCCTGGTGCCTTTATCGTGTGCAGGGAACGCTGCCCTGGCAGGCGCTGGCCTGTGGCTGCAGCAGGCTGCATGCTTGTGGTGCCAGTGCATGGCCCACCGGGGCAGGCACGGTACACCACAGCAGCCCCGTCTTTATCAGGTGGAGCTGCTCGCCCAAGGGGACACGGTCTTTGACATCCTTGATGGGCCAGCATGCGAGGATGCACGGAAGAAGCTCCTCCTCGCCCGGGAGCAGCCTGGCAGGGGTAAGGGAGCCCTCGGCTGGCATCTCACAGATGCTGCCGTCCTGCTCTGGCCCTTTGTGGCTGCAGTCAGAGAGCCAGGGCCAGCACTGCTGAGAGTGGACTGAGGGAGCCCCTGACCATCTCTGGCCCATTTGTTTCCCTGCAGAAGTCACGTTTGTCAGCGAGATGCGCACGTCCAAGGCCTTCCGGCTGCAGCATGGGGGGAATCGGGCCATGGCAGTGTGTGGGCACTTCACAGCCCTGCGCTGGTCAGCCTCCCCCTCTACCACAGCCTTCCTGGCTCTCTGCACGCCAGTCACACATCTGCCCACAGACAGCAATGCTGGTTGTCAGGACGACCTATTCCAGAGCACGCATGTCCTAGACATGACATTTATTGATGTCACGGAGAGGTGAGGGGTGCCTGCTTGCACCACAGCCCCAGCTGTCCATCTTGGGCAGCAAGGATCATTTCCCTTCTCCAAGCCTGTGGGTGGGATGTAGACTGGACCTTACGCAAGCACCAAGACACTCCCACACACTTCCCAAGCCTCTTCCCTCCCTTGTTTGCGTTTCTGTACCCCTGTTATTTTGCGCTCTCCCCCATCATGCTGCTCCTTGTTGACATAGTGTAGAGCCTGCAAAGCACTCAGCCCCCACTCCCCTTGTCTTCCCCAGCGTCACCTATCACCTTGGCTACCGCAGGGAGGAACTGATCGGTCAGTCATGGTACGCCCTCCTGCACCCTGAGGACACTGACCTAGCAGCTGCCCAGCACAGGGCCGTGGGTGAGTGTCAGGTCTGGGAACTTGCATGTCTTTATCTGGCTACACCTCAAACCTGGCTGGCCAGGACAACAGAAACAAAGTGAATTTAGTCCTGCCTGCTGTGGCTCCCTGTTCCAAAAAGTACAAAGCACAGAGCTGTAACACACCTCACGTGCTGTCTGTAAGGTCACACATTCCATTCGGGAACGTGGGCACCCTGCTTTGCCGTAGTGCAGAGATGGGGGGCAAGCCTGCCTGAGCCCCAGCATTTTGAGGGGGCAGGACTGTTACAACCCTGACTCCACTACCTGTGGCTGCTGTCCCGCTGGGGCCAGAGCAGCAACCTGACTACAGCCCCCCGAGGGGCAGCCGGGGGCCCCAGCGGCAGCGTGCCACTCCGCCCTGGCAAACGGGGCCGCCATGCCCCGCCGCTGGCTGACGCGGCCCCTTGCCCGCAGCGCTGGGGGCCGGGGCCGCC